TGTAGCCACCTCTACCTCTATCGAAACATTTTCCTTTGCCTTTGGTTTCTTTTGCTGAATATGCATGCAAGGCCACATCACTCTTCGATTTTCCTGCAACTCTTTCATTCATTCTTTGTTCATGAGATTCAAGCGTCCCTTGAAGCTCTTCCTTTGTCAATTTCGAAAAGTCTTTCCCTTCTTCATCTCCACCACTATGTGGTCGAACTTAGGAGCTAAAGATCTCAAGATCTTCAAAACAATAACTCTTGTTGTTAATATTTCTCCATATACCTTGATTTGATTCACTAGTTTTATAACTCTAGTGAAGAAATCAGATATGCTCTCACTATCTTCCATCTGAAGCAATTCATACGTTCTTGTGTGAGTTTGTAACCTCACTTCTTTCACCTTTTCTGCACCACCAAAGGACTTCTCAAGAACATCCCAAGCTTCTTTTGCAGATTCTGAATCACTTACTTTTTCAAAGTTTTCTGGACTCACACATTGATGAATTATAAATAGTGCTTAATAACTCAGCTTCTCAATTTCTGTGTGTTTCTTCTTTTCTTCTTCTGAAGAGTTTTCTCCAAGCGCTTCGACTCCATCTTTTAAAAGGTCCCAAAGCCCTTGAAACCTGAACAACACTTTCATCTGTTTGCACCAATTCTCATAGTTGTCTACTTTCAGAATTGGTAGAGTTGCTAGATAATTTGCATTCTCATAATTCGTCATCGTAAATTCTTCAATTATTCTTGATTGATACTTCCCTTGAATCGAAACTGAGCTCTTGATACCAGATGTTGGAAATCTACCAAATACCTATGATGAATTTCTACTTCAATGACAATGAATTATGAGAACAAAAAGAGAAGAAAGAAGACAATTATTTTCTACAGAGTTTCTCTCTGCCCACAAACTGTGGAAAACTTTGTTATTCACTTGCAACTGTAAATTCTGTGAATACAACTTAATTGACTTGATTACAAAAATAGGGATTACTCTACTTATAGATTTAGCTTGCACCCTAAGCCCAACACTATAAAAGCCCAAAATACCTATTTTGGTACGAAATCAAATCTATTCTATTTTAGATCTAAATTAAATCTATTTAAATCTAAAACAAATCTTATCTTTTCGACACTATGAATTACAATTTAACACATTGAAGGTTTTTTCTGTCTTGCAATCCTTCCCAAAGAATGATTCTTGCGAGTTTGGGGCGGTTACAAATAAGTAAGGATTAGGGTAAAATTTGTTTGCTTTTATATTAAAATCTGATTAGTTCATCCCTCGGTTATATCGAAAAACCGAAGGGTTAGTTGTTTTAGTTTACAATTATAATCAAAATAAAATATAAACTGTAAAAGTTTGAACTCGAAGCGCGTCCTGATTAGTTTTACCCTCGAATATATTAGAAACTGAGGTAAGTTTTTCTTTGGAAAAATATTCAATTTGGTTCGTTAACAATATCTTTAGGTTCACATTAGTCCCTTAATTTTTTCGTGTCACTTTAGTCCCTTAACTTTCAAAACGTTTCATTTTAGTCCTTTTTGTCTAATTAGGGACAGATTATCGACCAATTTCAAAGTTTTTCCGTCGCTAATTAGACAAAAAGGACTAAAATGAAACATTTACAAAGTTAAGGGACTAATGTGACACGAAAAAAAATTAAGGGATTAATCTGAATCCAGGGGTATAGTTAAAGGACCAAAATGAGTATTTTGCCTTTTTCTTTTTATAATTATAAAAATATAAAATATGGCGTGCCTAGGCTTAATACCTCGTTGTTTTTTTGATGACGTGAAAGCTCCGTCATAAAATGTGTTATTTGTTGTAGTTGTTGTATATTGGTTGGGTGTTATGGTATGATGTGGTGATATCATATGTGTCATCGGTGTCGTGGTAAGATGTGGTGGCAACATATAATTGGTTGTGGTATGGGTCATGCTCTTAGTTTTGTGTTTGGGTGTGTGGCATGAATTGGTCGAAAGTTTGGATGTTTGGTATGCAGAGGAAGAAAAAGGATCGCCCTATTAACACGCGTATTCGAATCGAAATGATTACGACAAACAAAATGGTAAGATTATGCAGTACATGTCGTCAACTCGGAAATACTCGAAAAAATTGTCCCAATATTGGGTTAAGTTTCGCAACATAATTATTGTATGCCACTCTTGATATGTAATTTATTTGTTGTAACCATCAAATTTCATATTAAATTCAACTTTCATTTCATATTCAAGACAACATTCAGATACAACAAAATAAAGACAGTCACACATAAAACAACAACACGACAAACAAATAAAATGACTAAACACATCAACATATCTAGGAGATTACAACCATCAAGACAATATGAATTGATTCATTCACCATCATACAAACATCGTCGTCGATTTTAACAAGTTCTCAGAAACGAATTTCTCTATTTTGGTTGAACACCGTAACAAGCCTATCAATTCTTCTAATCTTTTCACCATAAAAAACGTCTCCATCTAACCAACAAATCAAACTTAGGGATGGCAACGGGTCGGGTCGGGTGCGGGTTTCACACTACCCACACCCGAAATCATCACCCGAACCCGAACCCGAAGGCTATTCGGGTGACAAAATTACACCCGCGCCCGCACCCGTTGGGTTCGGGTTTTTTCACCCGAACCCGAAGGCTATTCGGGTGACAAAATCACACCCGCGCCCGCACCCGTTGGGTTCGGGTTTTTTCACCCAAACCCAAACCCGCATCAAAAATAAAAAAAAAAAATACAATTAAAATAAGGTCTCTTTACATTGTCTTCAAGAAAATGCAATCAAAATTATCTTAACATAGTCTTCAACATCTTAACATTACAATTAAAATTAAATTCTACAATCATATTACAACTTTTCAACAACAACAAGCTAATATATTACAACTTTCTTGTGTAAGATTAGATGTTCCTTCCGGCTCCGGAGTTGTGTTCACTTGATATATTTTACCTATTACAAAGAAAATATATTTCACATGTTAAGAAACACTAATAGATATTATCATCATAATTTTAAATTGTAATAACAAACATGTGAAACTTAAAACATATAAAACATGTAACTTAATTCTTGGTAATGCTGAACTTTTAAATTGTAATAAGAAGAATCCTTTAGACCACTTCTTGATACATACAGAGATGTAATAGCTTACAACACAGATAACATATCGCTTTTAAATTGTAATAATTTTAACATGCCATATTCTTGATAATTTATCATGTTTGCAACTGGAATAAAACTGCCTATAATAATGTTTGTCTACTAACTTTCAGCATGCTTGCATGCGCGTTAAATATCATGTTTTTGAACTGTCTAGAAACATAAGCACAACACTAAAAGAACTGTCTAATATCAAAAGCATTAGTGCAAATTAGTCGGGGCAACAATGGTGGAAGATAGAAACAATAATACTCACCATGTTAACATATAGAAACAACAACTTCTAATCTTCAAAATGGTAACCCAAACAACCTTCCATCAACTCAGCTGTATTAACAAATAAATTGATGTTAAATAAAACACTAAAGCCTAAAACTTCTACACAAAATGAAGTACAAAATACCTTCATCGTCTGACTCCATTTCATTCAACACAGTAGAAATTTCTTCTGCAACTCTAAAAATTCCTATATATATTATATAACAAGAAAAATTAGTAATATATTATTTGCCAATGACATACCAAAGTAGTAATACATTATATAACAAAAAAATTAAGGTAGAAAGTAAAAATAATTTGACAATGACATACCGTTATTCTCAGCAGCCCATAGCCAACTCCTAGCACACATCAAAGCCTCTACGATAGTCCAGTTAAGTCGGCTACGATGAGGACTCAATATTCTACCACTATTACTGAAGGCCGATTCAGAAGCTACTGTAGAGATAGGAATAGCTAACACATCTCTTGCAATTGCTTGAAGTGTTGGATACACAACTCCATTTACCTTCCACCAATTCAAAATGTCAAATTCTGGAGTATTTTTTATAACTGGCTCTTTCAAATAATGATCTAACTCATACTTAACACTTGAACTTGAGTCTTTGACAACGGCAATTGTCTCAACGTATGCATCAAATTCAGCCTCGTCATCAATAATAGCAGTTGTACCAATGGATGGAGCAGTAGGTTGTGCATCTCTAAGTTTAATCTGTTGATAATCATTGAGCAAATCATAACACATGTCTTTGATTCTACTAACTTGTGCACTTGATTCTTCTCCATACAACTTAGGAAACCAGAAATTAAGTACAACCATCTTCTTCCTAGGATCCAAAACTGCAGCAACTCCCATCATATCATGAACACCACTCTAATAATTTTGAAATTTTTCCATCATTCTTGTGGCCATCATCTCAATAATTGAATTGGAGGACTTCTTCCATTCCTCTATTGCCAACTTAATCTTACAAATCTTAGGAAAGTACAAGTTGGCAGTTGGATATTTTGTACCAGAAATCAACTCAGTTACTTCATTAAATAATTTTAAGCACCCACAAACATCTTTAGCAAATTGCCATTGTGAATTAGTTGGAAGACAAGTGTACAAAGACTCACGTTGCTTCAACCGAATAAATACATCCTTGTACTCTATGTCAATATCAAGCATCTTATATGTGCTATTCCATCTTGTTGGACAATCTAGAGCTAACTTTCTAGTGAAAATTATTCTCAATTGTCTAGCGGTATCTTCAAATTTTTCATACCTTTTAGGTGTAGCACTCCAAAATCCTACACTATCCCGAATATTTTCTATGCCATCCTTAATCACTTGTAGCCCCTCCTGAACAATTAAATTTAGGATGTGCGCACAACAATGCATATGTAACAAAGACCCATCCCTTATTAAACATTCCAACGACAACTTATCCTTAATTTTCCTAATCATTGAGTCATTTGTGCTACAATTATCTAAAGTAATCGTAGAAAGCTTTGAATCAATGTTCCAGTCCATTAAACAATTAACAAGTGCTTCAACAAGTCTTTCACTAGTGTGAGGGGCTGGAACATAAATGAACCTAACATAATATTTACAAAAAACAAGTCGTTCACTTATTGTCATTAAGAACAAAAAAAAAGATACAATAAAGTTATAAAATATAAACATTGTTACCTCAAGATTCGACTCTGTAAAGTCCACGAGCCATCAATATAGTGAGCCGTAACCGCCATATACCCTTTTTTTTTGGTTGCTTGAAGTCCACATATCTGTGGTAATTGCCACTCTCCCTTCATGGTTATCTAACATCTTCATAGCACATTTTTTCTCAAAATCATAAACTTTCAATACCTCCTTCTTGATTGTGTTTCGAGTAGGAACTTTAAACAATGGTTGGAGAGAAACAAAGACTCTTCTAAGACCAATGTGATCCACAATTGATAGTGGATAATCGTGCATAATAATAGCTTCAGCAATCAACTTCTTCACATGTTCTAGATCATAAGTTCCAATTCCCAACTCTTGCTTTCCTTCTGAGATAGTCGGTAGGAGAAATGGTTGTCCTTTGTCATGGTTTCTAGTCTTGATCTTTTTTTGAATAAAACTCAAGAGATGTCCTTTCAAGTGATTTTTTCCATTCTTTGAAGTGCCACTAAGTTGTTTTTTACACCAGATGCATTCAGCCTTATATTTTCCATTCACTTTCATCTTTTTAAATTCTTGCCACACATTACTTCTAAGTTTCTTTGATGCAGGTTCTAAAATTGTATCAATTTCTTCTTGTTGCCCAATATCAGGTTCAGGTGTCGGATTCAGATTAGAAGATACCTCCTGAGTTGGACATGTACTTTCTTGTGTAGGATTAGATGCTCCTTCTGGTTCCGGGATTGTGTTCACTTGATCCATTTTACCTACTACAAACAACAAGAAATTTCATAAACAATTGTATAAAAGAAAATTTTGAAGTCAACAATCGTTTCTCTATAATAATTTCAGTTTCAAAAAGCCTAATGGTACTTCTATACAATTTCTAATCATAGCTTCAAATATATCGATAACATTATATGGATTTCACTCTACTATTAAGTTTAGTTTCAAATCATAGGTCATTATGAACATCAAACTTCAGTAAAATTATCTGGACATTATTTTTCGATAAATCATCGAAACAAATTGCATCGGTGAATTAACATATCAACTTGCATTCATATAAATGATGATAGAGATACATACAAGGATCCTCAAAATCTCTGATGAGTCATTTATAAAAAGGTTCATACCTCTCTGTGAAGCTCCAATAGATGCAGTGTGCATTTTCAACTTTTTGAGAAAGTCTAGCTTCGGCACCTCCAATAGACCTTGCAATGTTTGCTTTGTTATGATGTTTTCAATTCCTATGTACACCAATTCTATAAAAGCGATTATATAGAAGAGAAAATTAATCAAATTCTATACAAAATTATTGAATAGGAAACATAACAGTTATGAAATTGATTGAAGAACTTCAATTTACTTGAATATACCACATTCATCACATTGCTTTGAAATCTGAAACATTGAACTAATATTCAATACTAAAATTCATAATAACATTAACAACATCGTCAATAACATAGTTGAACAAATGGAAGAACAAAAAATCAAACTCGGAATTCAAAACACAGTACCTTGGTCATAATAAGTAAATGTTTAAAAAAAACTTATAAGTTATTCTAAGCTTATTTCCATTGTTTATTTTGATAAATCCACTCATGGAGCTTTAAAAACAACTTATTTAAAGTTTATATGGAATTTACTCTTGCAAACAGACCAATGAAGATTTGAAAACATCCCAAGACGCATCTGCCACTGATGCTTTGGATGCTCAGAATATGGTCACTGAGGTGGTGAGAAAGCCCTTCTATTGGTTGATCCGGGTTCCCAGATATGATGATGATGAAAATATAAAAGAGCAGATTCAACATGCTCTTCAACAAGTGGAAGAGAAGACTAAAATCCGTGATGAAATTCGAGCTGAAAGCCAGACTAAAAAGGTAAGCAAATATGCATAACAGAACATATTAGAATGTTATGTTTGATTAACAAAATAGAAAAGAACAGTCTATGATGTTAGATAATTATTTTGAATGATAATTCAATCAGGCCAGTTGTAAAGAGTATGGGCAAGAATTTAGAGCAGCAGTACAAGAAGAGAGAGCTGCTAGAGATTTGCTTAAATCCAAACGGCAGGAGATGGATTCAGTTCAATCCACCATGAATAGATTAAATAATGCAATTTCTGTAGGGGATATCGATAGCAAGGTATGCATTCATTTTGTTATTCCTGAGATATTTACCAGGATTTGATTCTTATGTCTGTTTTGTTGTGTTAACTTCTCTAGATTTATAATTTGGTTTCAGATTAGAAACATGGAACACATGATTCGGCATGAAACTCTGCCTCTAAAAGAAGAAAAGCAATTGATAAGGGTTTATTCTCCAATTAAAAGTTGATTCAACAATAAAAATAAACCGGCTGTCCCATAGTTTCTTGGTCATATTCTATGCAAATGAACACGGAATAGACGTCTACTTCACCGAAACTAACATGAATATCATTCGCCACAAATTCAATTGAAATCAAAACGAGAACAAATTTTCACGGTATAAATTTCAATCGAATTCAAACAAAACATGACAACAACTCAACATACACAAATAGAATGGCATCCGACATAATAAATTCAGCATAATCCAACACTACTACAGAATCAAACGTAGTTATATAAACAAATGAGCAACTCAGTTGAACAAAGTTGAGAGAAAACGATTACCGGGATGTCAAATTCGTCAGAAGAAGTGAAGATGTTGTTCGTAGTTGAATGGCGATGGAAGTAGGCGCGGAGAATTGATGAAGCTTGATAAGGATAATGAGGCTGGGCAGTTAACGCATAATGCAATGAATTGCTGCGCGCGGAGAAAGCTTAAAGGATGATGTTGACGAAGAAAACAGAGGTGTATCTACCGTTATCACTGACGTGCTGGATACAGAGAGAGGGAGTTAGATAGAAGATGGTTATTTGATGATGGATGATGCAGCGGATTGAAGGTGGATGATGTTACAGTGGGTTGGTGGGTGACGGTAAATCCAAACATATCCTGAACAATAAACCCTACATTTTATTTTTAATTATTAAAATATATATATATTTAGGGATAGTTTTGTAATTTAACATATAAGCGGGTGTGGTTTCGGGTTTCGGGTGCGGGTTTAAGCTATCCCAAACCCACACCCGAAATATCGGGTGGCACCCGAACCCGAACCCAAACCCAGTCAATTCGGGTTTCACCCGTTGACTCGGGTGCGGGTGCGGGTGCGGGTGGGGCCCGCGGGTTTGGGTCTGCTTGTCATCCCTAATCAAACTCCTCTGAAAATACTCGAAAGTCTCTGTGTTCTAAAGTCGGATCTTCATCTGAGACTTTGTTAACGAAAAAATTGAGCATTTATTTTAATTATATAAGACATTTTAAAAAAAAAAAGTGTAAGAGTGAAATGAGAGATGAGTAGTAAATGGTGGAAATAAAAAACCTATTTATAAATAATAATAAAAAACAAAACAACACATGAACCAATATGTGTAGTACATACTCCTAATACTATAGTGCATACGTCAATGCCTATGACATAATACATAATACATAAGCATGTGCCACGAATAATGACACATCAGTGTAAATTAGAGTGATACACCATAGATAGTAGCACATCCTCTACTGGTCAAATTTTCTTATTTGAAAAATAGTTAGTTTGATAATATTTGTAAAAAAATGTTTATTTAAAAAGAAAATGATTTTGACTGATATTATAAAATGAAATATAAAAAATAGAGAAACTTTTTGAAGTTATTTTGAAAACATATATGTTTTTCATTCAAAAAATTGGGAATTTGACACTCCACTTCAAATTACTTAAGAAATCTACATATGTCAGAATTCAGATTTCACCTAAAAGATTGTCCCATTCATAGCGGTTGCAAAGTTAAGATTGTCCTCGTCTTCTCAGAAAGTGACTATTAGTATTCCATATTCCACTTTCTACTCTAGCTCTATATAAAGACTTCCAAACCTTGTATTTGGCCACACCCACTCATCTCTTGTTCCACAGTAATTTATTTTTCTTGCTTTGTGATTTTCTGATTACATCCATGGCTGATGAAGTGATTCTTCTAGATTACCGGCCAAGTCCGTTTGGGATGAGGCTCAGAATAACCCTTGCTCAAAAGGGTATCGAGTATGAGTATAAAGATGAAGACTTGCAGAACAAAAGTCCTTTGTTGTTACAGATGAACCCTATTCACAAGAAAATCCCTGTTCTCATTCATAATGGCAAACCCATTTGTGAATCTCTCATTGCTGTTCAGTATATTGATGAGGTTTGGAATGATAAATCTCCTTTGTTGCCTTCTGATCCTTATCAGAGATCACAAGCTAGATTCTGGGCTGATTTTGTTGACAAGAAGGTATATATATATATATATATATATATATATATATATATATATATATATATATATATATATATATATATATATATATATATATATATATATATATATATATATATATATATATATATATATATATATATATATATATATTAAGTTTACCCTTTACCATGTTTTTCTTGTTCTATCATTTGATTATCTAATTGAGTGTGTTTCAATTCTCAATCTGAAATAGGTCTATGAAAATGGAAGGAACCTTGTTTGGACCAAAAATGGAGAAGAGAAAGAAGCTGCAAAGAAGGAATTCATAGAAGCCCTCAAACTGTTGGAGCAAGAGTTGGGAGACAAGAGTTATTTTGGAGGAGAGAAGCTTGGTTATGTGGATGTAGCACTTATTCCATTCTACACTTGGTTTAAAGGCTATGAGACTTTTGGTAACATCAATATAGAGAAGGAGTGTCCCAAGTTTATTGATTGGGCTAAGAGATGTATCGAAATTGAGAGTGTTTCTAAGTCTATTCCTGATCAGGATAAGGTCTACCAGTTCATTGTGGAGGTCAGGAAGAAGAGGGGCATTGAGTAGGTTGGATGTTGACAGTGAGTTTGGCAAATTCATGATGCTGTCTTGATTTTGTTGAAGTTTCAAATGTAGCTTCTACCAAAATTCAAGTAGCTTATTGTGATTGTGCCATTCTTCTTACCACAAATCAAAACATGCACTAAATGATTTCTGGTAAATTATGCAATAAAAAGGCACTTTGATGTTTTAGTAGGAAAGGTTTGGAAAAACGTGTGAGTTGTGATTGATCTTTGATCTATCTGTTCTTTGAATCGAGTGTTTATGCATTGTTATACATGGTGTAATGTGAAAGTATTTATTGTTTATTGTTTATTTTATTTTTTGCTTCTCTTAATCCATGCAGTAAGCTTGAACAAGCAATACTTAGCTTCAAATTAACAGAGTATAGACAAATAACACAAGTGTATCTTCATAATTGGATGCAATGTGGTCATGATACCTGCAGGCCAACAAGCTGCACCGATTCATATTTAAAGAAGCTGTTCTAAATTTTGTTTTATAGCTCAGCTCTCTAGCACCAAGTCTTTATGCAAAATGTTTTCTATTTGTTGCTTCAACTTTGTTGTTACTTCCTTGTAGGGACCAATTGAACCGTAACAGAAATTAGAGTTATTAGAGTTATTAGAGGAAAAGAAATGCAAAAATAATTGCAATTTAGATCAATTCGAAAATTTGGTGACTTCGGTCACGGCGTTGTGGCGAGCAGCCAAACATTATCAGTTTAGAATATTATTTGCCATCAGAATGGTTGATATAACGGTTGTGACAGTGCAAATTATTTGCCATCAGAATGGTTGATATAACGGTTGTGATGGTGCAAGGATCGGATGAATTTGCCGACCATTTTTTTTAAGAATCAAGAATTTGATTCCCGCAGACGTCACCGCTATTCTGTGTGAACCAAAAGAACAAACGTCATCACTATTTTGTGTGAACTAAAAGATTGATGATGCATTGGTGCTAAAGCTATCTGATACGAACGGTCTTAGATCTTCAATACAGTGAAGGGATATACCTGCAAGGATAACATTTCAACGTCCAAGTCAATGAAATTAGAGAAATGTAACTTTTTAAGAGTTAATAAAATTGCATATGTTATGTTTTTTTTTTAATAAGCAATTTGTACTTATTAGGATTTGAACTTAAACATTGAGAGAAACACTCTCAAGACCACTAAACCACACATGCACACAATTGCACCTATTATTGTACATAGACAGATTTATATATGATAGACGATTGAAACAGTTTCATGTTGGTGCATCACGGAGTACGGGAAGATTGTTGGATTGGATCCAACGACCTAAGATGGGCCAGTGCCTTGGTTCCGGTGCGCATCATTTTTGGTGAGAGTCCATTTGTTCATAAGTTTTAAATGAGAGTACTGGATTGGACTTTTAGACCTCTGGTACTTGACCGATCTTATTGAGTCGTTTGGCCAGCCCGGAACAACAATCAACATATCTAATTTCGACACGAAACCGGCACATTTAGTTATATTTTATGACTTCTATTTCTTAAATTGTTATTGGTTTCTACTTGGTAATATATTGTTGTGCTAGTTGCCCTTGTTTATGTGAGTGTTTTATAACAAACAAATAGTTTCAAAGGAAACACAAAGCATTGTAATATCCGTCCAAGACTCATCTCTTTGTTTTACTTTAATTGTTTATTGTTATTTCACTTTTCATGATTCTCAACCTTTTCTATATATTTACAACACCAACCATAAACCTTAGCCATTCACTTCTGCACCCAACGTCAATTTTATTTTGTTCAAGTCTTCTATCTAAGCAATGGCAGATGAGGTGATCCTGTTAAATTTCTGGCCAAGTCATTATGGCATGAGGGTCCTAATTGCACTTGAGGAAAAGGGTATCAAGTATGAGAACAAAGAAGAGGATTTTAGCAACAAGAGTCTTTTACTCTTGCAAACGAACCCAATTCACAAGAAAATACCAGTTCTAATTCACAATGGAAAATCCATTTGTGAATCACTAAATATAGTTGAATATATTGATGAGGTTTGGAATGATCATTCTCCTTTGTTTCCTTATGATCCTTACCAAAGAGCCCAAGCTAAATTTTGGGCTAACTATGTTGACACTAAGGTAATTCACATTTAGTTCTTATTTTTATCAAGTTTTAAAAAACGGTCTTCCGTCGCATTAAGACTTTTGTGATTTATACAGGTGTCGCGATACTGATTGCGGTCGTCGCAGTGTGAATTAATCATAATTATTTTTTTAACATAAAAATTGTGATAATAGTATAGACAATTGTTAATACTTATTTTGCGGTCGCAAACTATTTTTTAAAACCCTGATTTTTATATAACCAATGTTGAAAGAAATGTGAATTTCTTACTAACTTACAACTATATGAATGGAAAAGATATATGAGATTGGATCTAGGTATGCAAAAACTGTAGGAGAAGAGAAAGAAACTGCAAAGAAAGAGTTGCTTGAAAGTTTTGAAGTGATGGAAGAACAGCTGGGAGACAAGCCTTATTTTGGTGGAGACAAGTTTGGTTTTGTGGATGTGGCACTTGTTCCATTCTTTTGCATGCTATATACTTACACTTTTGCTGGCAAATTCATTGATGATGAAGAATTCCCAAATTTGACATCTTGGGCCAAAAGGTGTGCTAAAAAAGAGAGTGTATCTAGGTCAATTCCTCATGAGAATAAGGTGAAACATTTTTTAGAAGAGAAAAGTCTTTTGAATCGTGGAGATTAGAATCAAAGGTGTTAATGTATTATGAATAAGATTCTAAATTGCAACTGTGGTTGTAACTATGATTATGTTGTGGTTTTTGATATTGTGAAAAACTGTTATGTAATAATTGTTATGGACTGTAATTTAGAAATATGTTTCTTCTGAACAATAGCATAACAAAATGTTGTTATAATCCAAAATCCATCTATGAACTCTTAGAATTGTGAAGGTCCTAAGATTAGAATTATCCTTGTGAACATTAAGATTGGTGATTAGCAAGTAAATATACACTCTTTGGTACCATTATTGTTCCTATTCAATGTGAAGCCCTTGAATGGCCACGTTCGCCCTTCACTCATCTTTAACCTACATTAACTTCTACCCCAAAAATCTTAACTTCTATTCTTCCTAATTCTTAACATTGGAATAATTATGCATCTACTTTAGCTATGAGAAGCTCTTTGATGGAAAAAAGGTTGCCCTTTACCAAGAATCATTATTTATATAAAAATGAAACTTAGTAACCGTCACTATAGATATTAGAAAATTATGAAAAAAAAGTTTTATGGTCACATTTATGGAAGATAAAAAATAATGCAAAAATACACTAAAATTTATAATAATAAATGAAATATACAAGTTATTTTAGATCGGCCAAAGGCCCAACTGACTGAGGCTCACTCCGTCTCAAGCTCACTCTATCCGATTCAATATATAAAATAGTTTGCATGCTATGAGAAGGTAAACAGTTTCTAATCTTCAATTTTACTTTACTATCTTAAATCTTGAACTGACTTGGACGTTGGACTGCTAACCTAGTAGTTCAACCTTGCACGGTCGTAAAGAAGATCAGAGCCACCGTTCAAGACCACTAATATCATCTTCTCAACATTTTTGGTTTATTAGTGCAGTTAGACCATCTATTTATGATTCCCGAATGGAACAATGACACCATATATGGGAATCATCTTTTGATTCCTATAATTTTCACGGTTTCAGATCCAGTTTCTATTTATCTAGTTGTAACCTCCTTGGACTATTGAATTTAAAACATATTCAATTATCGATTCCAACGATATATGCGAATCAACACTCGCTCTTAAATTTCATCTTTCAACTGCTCCCTCAAATCTTAGAACCGAGAGAAGCGAAACCAAAAACTCGTAACGGTTGAATCAGTTTGCCATCGTTTTCACTTCGGTTCTATGTTGTCAAATATCTCCGGCCTCCTTGAGAGATCTGCATGATATCAAAAGGAAGGATTTCTGACCCAAATCTAGGATTCTGTCAGGGACTGAAGGCAATTTTCACTGAAGTCGGGGAAAAGTTTTGCAATTCACGGTCCGACCTGGTTGCACGCATGCTCCACGCCACTACCAGGATTATCACAATGGGGCCTATCAAAGAAACTGTAAGTTCGTAGTTAATGGCGCCCGAATAGCGCAAGTTCATAGTTAACACCAGACGCCAATCTAACGACGGGGTGCGCCCTATGGACACCCCAGGATCTAACGACGGGGTGCGCCCTATGGACACCTGTTTACAGTTATTTCTGGTAAACAACCGCTAGTCCTCCAAACTATCAAATAATCTTAATGACTGTTATTTAATCTCTCTGGTAACTTGCAGGATCGACTAGATTGATCCTATGGTGTATTGGTCATTTGGATAATTCTCATTATAGAACTGATATTCATGGTTGGTATTTAGAATGTTGTGTAGGTGTTTAACTTACTTCGATTACTCTATTAAAGATCTAATGACATGATCAAGTAAATACGTGCGAAACTAAATTGCATGAATAAAGGTTCAATTGTAAAGACATGTAAAACTGCAAAAGACAAGTAAATAACTTCGAAGCATAAAAGCATGTAATGTAAAAGATTCTCTGGAATGTAAAAGACTCGAAATATAAAGAAAGCGTTTAAATGCAAGAAATCAGTAAAATGACTTTAAATGAAAAAAGATATTCGAATGATAAAAGCATGAAGATAAAGGCATGAAATATACAAAAGTTTCTGAAATGTAAAGGATTTGAAATGGAAAGAAAACATTTAAATACAAGACATCAGTAAAAGACTTCGAATGAAAATACTTTAATGTAAAGGCTTTTGAATGATATTGACATGAAGATAGATGAAAGAACTGGAAATGAAAAAGAGTTTTATTGAATCATAAACATTTGGTGTTATCATACGTACATTGTTCGAGCATTCGTTTCCCTAGCCATGTGGTATTTTGAATGTTTACTGAATTTTTGTACAATAGATATGACACACGAAATC